CCAGGGTTTTTATCAGCACGTGACCTCGAAGTTGGAAGAGGCTGATTGTGCTGATGTGTTCGATTCAGATGCGTAAAGCAGAACCGAGAGTTGCAAGATGAGGAGATAAGAAGCGCACAAGCACGCAAGTGCCGAAGTGTGAAGAATGCTACTTCATCCATGGTCCACGTAGCGATCTGCGAAATCAGCAATCACGATGTATTACTCTTGATGACATGCCACGATTGTCCGAAGCGGGATACAACCTTACACAACTCTCACCACCAGTATCTTTGCCAGCTGCATGGGCATCTTCGGTCATTTCATCCAACATCTCGCCACTTTTCAACTTGCACCGAGAATACGAACATCTTTGCGATAGATTGTGGAACACAGTGCACTAAAGATTTAGAAAAACATAACTCCGATCTTTCATATTGGCTTCCACTGCAGCCCATGATAGCATTTTTTGGGGTGCACGGTACCTTTACTATAGCAACAGACGACACAACCTTTCACTCACAGCTGCGCGCCGCGCCGTGGCCACAAGACGAAAACGTGAAGACCGCGGGGTCTTCCTGGCACTTCCTGGTGTAGGGTCTATAGGTTCAGGGATGTTCAGGGCTGAGGGTTTTACTAGGGTTGCAAAGGTATGCCGTCTGCGGGTTTCGAAGTTGGGGGTGCTGGCTTTATCAGTTTGAGGGCCTTGACCGTCCCAAAGCGGAAACCCTGACCGGCAAGCGCAAAGCACCATCCAGTCCCTAATGAGGCCCTAATGTCCCTCGAACGTTTAAAATCTCGAATTACAGACCTCAACTAACAACCTGCACCGGACAATCCGTAAACCTATATGAGTCCCATGCCCAACCTCTTGATCTTAAGCCCTGCAATCCCCTGTCACTTTGTTCCTTCTAGAACGCCCCCTTAACGAACCAGAAATCTTGACTTCCTGGGTGTCTCTATTTGGAGAAGCCCATAAGCTTTAATTACGTTCTTACTTCAGGAGCCTATTGTGAAACAACCCCCGCGCTGCTTTTTGAGCTTTGGAGCACCTTCTGTCAGCTCACCCTGGAAAACCCAAACCGCTAAATCGTTACAAACAACGACTACCCATCCCCCGTCCCCCGTCCCCACCAGGCGTGCGTGTTATTGGTGGTATATTGACTGATTCCCAATCGAGGTTTTAAAGCGTTGGGATGAACGAGCCGTCAGCTTGCAATCTTTTTCGGGGTGTGGAGAGTCCTACCATACTTATGAGGTTATCACTTGGGGCTAGGTTATTCAGCAATCAAACTACGGGTTTTTGAGGTTCAGAGGTTCCAGGTGGGGCCGTACGGGTTTCGGAAGTTTTAAGGTACGTAGTGTTGAGGTTGCGAGGATAGCGCTCTCGTAGGATAAGTAAGGTGGAGGAGGTCGAGGTTCAGGGCAGTGTGTTTCGGTTTGTTAGAGGTTTTCGATAAGAGCTCCTACTGCGGGAGAAGGCTTCGGAAAGATGCGAGTTGGACGGGCAGGGTTTCCAGACATCCCCAAGACGCTTGGCCCAATCGCCGTACGTCGTTAAGGCTAGTGACTATAGTCCAGGCGGTGCAGGTATACCTCAATGTGGGTCTTGTGGGTTGTCTACGTATTTGTAATCCAGTCAATCTAGTCATTCAACGCTGCAGTTGCGAACGGAATTCAAGTCTACTAAATCGAACTTGTACTGGGGACGCAGTCACAGGGACCACTATAGGTAGTGAGCAGCAAGCCCATGGAAGTACTCCTGCGGGTTGGGTTCATGGTTGAGATTTTAGGGCCTGAGGTTTCGGTGTAGGATTCTTGTAGGCTGGTTCGGGTATGAACGCCAGCAGTGGTCGCGGCAACTTCAAAATAGCAGGCTGAGTGGCCATGTCGTCCCTGCCTTGAAGGTGCCAATTTGGCAGCTCCCGGTAATTCAGAATCTCGTTGTCGTTACCTTTTGCCATGTGTTTGTCGACGTGTTGGTTCCTTGTCAAGTATGTCGAGGAATTGATCTCTGTGTGCAGGCATCATGGCACTGGCCTGTGCCGTTCTGTTTTCTCCTCCGCTTCAGACGTACGGACGTACGACTGTTGTCAAATGATAAAGGATGCGGCTGCAATGAGTGTGGCGAATTTGCTTGTGAGTCTAGCCCTGACAAACTTGTTTCGTCGACAGTCCATTTGACGCTTGACACTGGTATCATGCGGCATCTGGGTGGACGCGGCTCACAGCATGGAAGGTCTGAAGCTTGATCATATGCCAAAATCAGGAACATGGCATCCACTTGATGAGCAATTCAGCCGTCAGTGTTAGACTCAAAGTCTTGACGTCTCGGTGCTAGAGGTTTGGCTAACCCTTCTATAGCACTACTTCGTGATGGTCGGCTGATTCGCAGATGGTCATGGGCCAGCCAGGCGGTGCGCGCGTGCAAATGCAGCTCTTGCTTGTGAAGCTCTCAAACGGTTGGTTGCACTTGCACACTTCATCCGAACCTAAAGAAGACGACGGCAAAGCCTGCCATGCTAAGCCCATTCCCCAACCAGCGCTCAGATGAGCCCAGACAATTAGCCAACCCTCCAAGTTGGATCCTAGACCCCCCAACTGGATGGAGTTCTTTGGGTCCTGCAGGCTGGGTGGCATTAGGTAGTCCCTAGTAGCACTAGCAGCAGTAGCAGTAGCAGTAGCAGCAGCGGCAGCAGTAGTAGTAGTAGTAGTAGCAGCAGTAGTAATCGTGGCAGTGCTTATTAGTTGGTGTAGTAAGTCGTCCTCGTAGTCGTCGTGGTGGCGGTGGTGGTGGTGCTGCTGCTGCTGCTGCTGGCGGTGATGGTGGTGGCGGCGGCGGAGGTGGCGGCAGTGGTGGTGGTGCTTATGCTGCTGGTGCTGCTGATGCTGGTGGTGGTGGAAGTGGTGGATGTGGCAATGGTAGTGGTCGTCAGAGTAGTAGTGGTATTTAGTAGTAGTAGTAGTAGTAGTAGTAGTAGTAGTAGTAGTATTAGTAGTACTAGTACTAGTAGTAGTAGTAGTAGTAGTAGTAGTAGTCGTAGTAGTAGTCGTAGTAGTAGTAGTAGTAGTAGTCGTAGTAGTCGGAGTAGGAGTAGGAGTAGTAGGAGTAGTAGTAGGAGTAGTAGTAGTAGTAGTAGTAGTAGTAGTAGTAGCAGGTGGTAGTAGTAGTAGTAGTAGTAGTAGTAGTGGAGGTAGTAGTAG